GAAGGAGGCAGTGTGTTTATGTACGCACGATATGAATTGAATGCTCACGCCTTTCCACCTTTACAAGTGGATTCGGTAATTTCATTAATGTATTCTGATGCTGGCTAGCAGGGCGAGCTCTGCCTTACCCACCTCATTACTGTGCGGCACCGCGTTCTCAGCCTCGCACAGCATTTTTGTGCTCAAGCCATGGTGCCGCTTGGATCACGTCATTGCCCCACTTGTGTGCTTATCGCATGGTGCAGAGAAATTTGATGCTAAGGTCCTTTTTTTATAGGACATCAATCCAAGAAGAGGCACTGCAGTAAACCTCTAAAACGTACGTCCACCATTGCACACTTGCATTCGTGTTTCGGTGTAGCAGGAGCTTAAAGTAACTTATTTATCAAGCACTGATAAGTTCACTTGGTCCTCACCGTGTTACAGGCCATGGCAAAGGGAAAGGCAACAAAGAAGGTAAAGTTACTAGACAAAATGCGACTAAAAGCTCGCAGTAAATCTTACACAGGGTGCGCCACATCAGTAAACTGAGAAGTTGAAGTGGCGTGGAGCTTCACAATGCTGCCAGGCCTTAACCTACCAAGCCCTAACCTCAAAGAGGATCGAGTCGGCAGTGATGTGTCTACGATGTGCTCCTTTTTTAGTCGAAAAGGACTGCGCCAAAATAACCATAAAAGTGGTCGGTGGAAGGAGGAAGTAGAAAATGTCGACGTGGTGAGTTAAAAATTCTTCAACCCAATCACTACCTGTGCCAACAGCTACTGAAATGCCTTGTAGCAGTGCATTTATATCAACAAGCGATAAGTGAAGGCAATATCTTGGTTACCACCGCATTGACCTTTCTTACAGTCTTAAGTGCGTTTGTAAACTGAACGTTTAAGCGAGAGGTCGCAGAATCGATGTGCTTGTCAAGCGCAGCGATTTGTCAGTCACGAATGAGAGCGGATCCACCACCATAAGTCGACATACGTGCTTTATAATTCAAATGCCTTCCCTTTTAGAAGTCGTGGCTCACTCTCAGATAAACTACCGTGGAAATGATGACCTTCAGCCTTCACTTCTATTTTTTCCTGAATAAAGCAACTGTTGGGGACCTTCAAAACCAAATGACATTGCCTTTTTTTTTGCACCTACATGATTGCTGCTTGTAGAATAAATTGTGGTTGTTGAAGTTAAAATTTTTCTGCCTCCATTAACCCAGTTCACTTCAATCAGCGAGGCTGGAGTATTTTCAGTCCACCTTTTACTTTTACAAGTGTGTTGTTTGTGGTTAGAGGTCAAGAATTTGGCGTTTTTGGACTGCCATTTGAGATGCGCAATTTCGGCCACATTACACAGGGTCTCCACATGATGTGTTCAATTTGCAGTGCACAAAACACTTTGATTGTGGAAATCAGAAGACTCTGACACTGTGCCTGAGGGCGGAAAATGCTATTTGGGGATAGTTGATGAGAGGAATGTTGTCCTACTTGTGGGCAATGCTTTCGTGATTGGAGACTGGAGGATTTGCAGTGGCGACCTCCGAATGATTGGGAAGCCTCGATTCCATTTGTGTAATTTTGTTGTTATTTTTTTCGGTCGGATGGAGGGGGCAGGGCGTAGGAGTAAATTTTGTGTCTTAACCTTTGACAAGTGAAAAAATTCTCCGCGCTGTTTGGCTGTAGAGAATGTGAGTTGAGTAGGCAGAAATTCCTCAATATCGTTGGTCTGTTAGCTCACCAACTGCTCTCATCTCCACTCACTCAGTTTGTCAGGAAAGTTGAAGGTGAAAGTCAAGAGACTGAAGGCATACAAGAGGATAGTCACCTTCAATTTCCATACTGTTCAGCTAAATTTCAAACTTACCAGTGCTTATTTGACGTACGTAAAGCCTGAAATTGCGGGCACAAAGGTTAGAAATGCTCAATTTGAAGCCTTCCCGAGAACAGGAAAACCCAGAAAATGCCCTCATTGGGGTAATTTATGATGCTCAGGTTTCCGAAAAGTGTACAACTAGTTTGTGAGCGCAAACTTGGTACAAGGTGGAATGAAATTAGCCCCTTGAAGAGGCCGACTTCATTTAGAGAGCATGTGGAGGAGTGAAGGGAATGCACACCTTTAATCCACTCCTAAAGCCATCTTGTAAAATGTGTGAAAAAGTGTGTGAGTAAGGTCGTGGCTTGGGGAATTTTTTACAGCACCTTTGTGACTCACACAATGCCACACCTAGCCACGAGTTGGTGGCACCAAACCGCTCCTATCATGCGATCTCGCCTATTCGGTCTCTTTTAAGTCGCGCATAGTGCCTCTAGTCATTTGGTCCACCTAAGAGGGACACGACACCATCCGAACAAGATTTGGTCAAAAATAGCCAAAATGTCTCCATTGTTGCATTGTCGCATAACGAAGGATCCAATTTGACTTCTCTCAAATTTCTCCCACGGCGGTGAACACGCGTGGTCACGCGAGGTGCCAAGTTGGCACAACTCCGCCCTCATCGTACGCCCAAAAGCATCACCAACGAAGTGTTGAGCAAAACACCCCAACTCACCTTCTATCATGGCCAAACCTTAATTATTTTGACTAGCAACTTTGGTCTCCAAAAGAAACCAGTAGCAGGCTTTTGGTCTTCTCAAAGTTGGGAGAGAATAGAACCAACTTATGCCTGTTCTCTTAATTGGCAACGAAATTGTCAAAAATTGGCCTCCAAACTTCTAAAGTCATTTGCTCATTCTGCTCTGATTTGTCATGAATTCGTTACTCAAATTACCCACTTGTATAACAGAAAAAAACGGATATCTTTCAACTCACTCTTCAATTTGCCTACGGGAGCAGAATGAAAGGAAAAAAGCTCACGATAGGCTTCTCTTCATGTCACAAACCATCAAGCATTGCATTATCATGTAAATGACAGTCGGGTTAGAAGAACTCTTGAAAGAGGCTTCGTATCACCGACATAATGGCAACGATGATGATAAAGATGTTTAGGCTTCATTATTTAGTCACCAAAATCCTAACGACATCTCATTTGTGCTTCACTACCACCGAGGCGTCAAAAAGCCCTGTTAAGCGATGAGAACAGCAAGACAAGAGCCCTTTCATTTGATGCATTCCACATCAAAGCTGCCTTCTTGTCTCCACTGCCATTGTTGCCTTCTCTGACTCGTTGAAAGGTGTTCAAATGGTGATGCCTTTGACTGGTCTGTGACAAGGTCTTAGTTAACTCACACTTCTCTGTTAGCATTTGTGAGGTAGTCGGATCTCA